GTTTAAAAAACAAGTTTACATCATATTCTTATGCATGCCAGTGCTGTGTGTGAGGTAATTTAAGGTGGTTCTGACAAGTGTCGTCGGCATCTTCATATCTGGTCACCTGGGCGGCAAGCCACTCCCATCCAGTCACATGGGCAGCAAGCCACTCCCACAATGGAGGCCACACCCACAGAGTAGGTTCGAACAATTTATGAAACCCACCACTGCTGCGACGGCTTCCTGCAGCCCTCTGCCAGTGAAAACAGGGCTCAGGGGGCTCACCCACAGCCCTCCCAAGTTCCGTTTTTGCTGGCAGAAGGACTGTGGGCCGGTCCTTTGCTGTTTCCAGGATGGCCCTGTGGGCCAGATCTAAGCACCCCGAGGGCCGGATCCAGTCTCCGGGCTTTGAGTTTGACACCCCTGATATAGAGCAAGCCAGAGTCATCTGTTGACGATGGGTGAAACATCTGGATCCAGAAAGAGTTTGTTTTTGGTTTTCTACTTCTTGGCCCTTTTGTGCCTGTGTTCTAATGCAGTGTTTCTCAACCTTGGTGACTTTAAGTCCCGTGAACTTCAACTCCCAGAATTCCCCCAGCCAGCAGAGCTGGGAGTTGAAGTCCACAGGACTTAAAGTCGCCAAGGTTGAGAAACACTGTTCTAATGAAGCTTGCTAGCATTAGTCCAATCTCAAGATTGCAGCCTGGCAACATTTTGATTTCGTTTGTTTGTTAGCTTATATCCCATACAGGTAGTCCTTGACTTACAACTGTTCATTTAGCGACCGTTCGAAGGTACACTGAAAAAAGTGACTTATGACTGTTTTTCACACTTCTGACCATTGCAGCATCCCCAGGGTCATGTAAACCACGTGACTTACATTTGAATGCTTGGCAAGTGACTCATATTTATGATGGTTCTAAGTGTCCCCAGGACGATGTGCAGAGGTGGGTTCCTACCGGTTCGGACTGGTTCAGCCGAAAAGGTAGTAACTTGGCAGCCTTGGTCGCCCTGAGCGAACCAGCAGTAGCAGCAGCTGGAACCCACCCCTGTGATCATGTGATTATCTTTTGCGACCTTCTGACCAGCAAAGCCAATGGGGAAGCCAATAGCAATAGCAGTTAGACTTATATACCGCTTCATAGGGCTTTCAGCCCTCNAACAATCTGGGTCCTCATTTTACCCACCTCGGAAGGATGGAAGGCTGAGTCAACCCTGAGCCGGTGAGATTTGAACCGCTGACCTGCTGATCTAGCAATAACCTGCAGTGCTGCATTTAACCACTGCGCCACCTTGGCTCATAAGATGTACTCCGCCCCCTCTAAAAGAGGGTGAAAGTTTGGGTGCGTCTTATACACCAAATGTAATCCCGCCAATCTGCCAGCCCCCACCCTTAGCCTCTTCCCCCCAGCAATTTGCCTCCTTGCAGCAAATAGCAAACAGCCTGTTTCGGTTTCAGCTTCACCACAGCTTGATTAGTGCAAGCAACTGATAGTTAGTTGAATCGACCTCCCGATCATCAGCTGTTTCTGGCTTCACGGATTGCCATTGCCTATTGCTGCCTCCACACACTCCATTTTCAGCCTCCGGTGCCCCATTTTCTGCCCATTCTGATCCCCGCCGCCCAGAACGAGCACAAAATGGGGCACACAGAAGCCGAAAACAGGGCATGCAGAGGCTGAAAACGGGGCACGCGGAGGCAGCAATAGGCTATGGCAATCCCTGCAGCCTGAAACAGCGGGGGGGGGGGGGCAATCCAAGCAACAATCAGCTGCTTGTGCTAATCAGGCTGTGTTGAAATTGAAACTGAAACATGCGATTTGCTGCAAGGAGGCAAATAGCTAGGATGCAGGTTTTTTTTCTTTGTGCCAATCAGGCTAAATTGAAACTGAAACAGGCTGTACTGCAAGGAGGCAAATTGCTGGGAGGCAGAGGCAGATTTTTTTCCCTTGTTTTCCTCCCCAAAAGCTAGATGCGTCTTATACTTCGGAGCATCTTATACTCCGAAAAATATGGTATTTATTGTCCTCCCCCTCACAATCCCTGATCTGAGCAACCCCTGTTTGTTTGGTGCTGGATCATCGAATGCTGCCTGATACAGTGATAACAAGATTGAAGGTCCTTTGGGAAGCAGACAGGAGAGGCCATTTTTAAGTACAAAGAAAAATCTATAACGGATGAAATCCGGAGATAGCAGAGAAAGAGAAAATGGGATTTTGCTCTGCAAACTCTGTGCTTTGGTTATTTCCTTCTTACTCAACTTGGGCTTTTGGACTCGAATGCAAAGCACTCAAAATCCATTCCCACCCACCACCCTCAACTGCAGTTTGAAGCAGTACAATTCTTTCTACATCTCAGTCTGCTGCATTTGTAGATGCACCCTGTGGGGCAAAGAGGATTAAGTGAATTGGGTAGGTGGAGTAATTAAAAATCCTCAGTTCCTCACCGCAGGATGTGGGATACTCGGAACACCTATTACTCATACACTCGCTACCCCAACGGTGAAGCGTTATATTACTTCTTTTTTATTTACTTTTTTTATTACTTTGGGTTTGTTGCAGCCACGATTTTATTGGAGAATTTGCCACAAGCTATCGGGAACTCTCTCGCGCCCAGAACCAGTTCACAGTCTATGAGGTAAGACTTTCTCCTGGCAAAATACAGATTCTCTTGAGAAATGTTAGGTTTTGTGCAGCGCTTAAATTAATTGGACCCAACAAATTGCATGCCTACTGAGAAATCTGGACGCAATGGGTTTACAAAGAATGCACACCAACATGTTTCTAGTCCTCATGGGTGTAGAGCAGGGGTGTCCAACTGGATTTCATTGAGGGTTCAGGGTTGTGTTTGATCTTGGGCTGGGCTGGGTTGGGCGTGGCCAGCTCGACGTCACACGTGTCAGGAGGTGCCTGTAGGCCCAAGTACTCTGCCAGTGAAAATGGGTTCCTATGCTCCGTTTTTTGCTGCGACGCAGAGGTGGGTTCCTACCAGTTCGCACCTATTCGGTAGAACNCTAAACCTAACGCTAACCCTTAACCTAACCCTAAACCTAACCCTAATGCTTAACCTAACCCTAAACCTAACCCTAACCCTTAACCTAACCCTAAACCTAACCCTTACCTTAACGTGAATCGGCTTTCTTTCAAAGCGCTATTTAAAGCGCCCTTTTTTCTCCGTGGTCGCTGTTGTCGCCCTGCTGATGACGTCAGCAACGTGGTTTAATCGGGCGCGCTTTAGTGGAGCGCTGTTTTGTCGTGCCACGCTTTTTGATGGCCTTCTCCTGGCTTCCGCTTCCCTTTCTGATGTCGCCTTTCCCTTCCAGGACATTGTCACCATGCAGTTGTGTGCCAACAAGCTGGACAAGAAGGATTTCTTTGGCAAATCAGATCCCTTCCTTGTTTTCTACCGCAGCAACGAAGACGGCACGTACGCAAGAGTGTCCCCTTTCGAGGCAACCAACTTCCCAGGCCCCATTCTGGGCTGTTACTTTAATGGCATGTAGCTGCCTTGATAGTGTCGTTAGGCCCTGAATTGTTCACTTTCACACACACACACACACACACACACACATACACGTCTACTTCCAAGAAACACTCAAGCTTGCCTTTCTACTCCTCTCTTCTCAGGCCATTCTTTTTGCTAGTTTGCTAGGGTGAATGTTGATTCTCAGATGTGATCCCCCCGCAACCCACATCAATAGCCCCATTTTTTTCCGCACCAGTTTTTACTTGCCTTTTTTATTCTAAGATTTGAGGAAAAATACTATTTATTTTACATGTCCCTAAAGATAAAGGTCAAGGTTCCCCTCGCACATATGTGCGCTAGTCATTCCCGACTCTAGGAGGCAGTGCTCATCTCCCTTTCTAAACCGAAGAGCCAGTGCTGTCTGAAGATTTATTTATTTAATTTATTCAATTAATTTGTATGCCGCCCACTCTCAAAGAGACTCAGGGCAGCGAAAGATGTCTCCATGGTCATGTGGCTGGCATGACTAAATGCTTTTATCTTCCCACCAAAGTGGTTCCTATTTTTCTACTTGCATTTTTTACGTGCTTTTGAACTGCTAGATTGGCAGAAGCTGGGACAAGTAACGGGAGCTCACTCCGTTACACAGCGCTAGGGATTCAAACCGCTGAACTGCCGACCTTTCTGGTCAGCAAATTCAGCGTCTTAGCCACTTAGTCCCTTACATGTTCCTAGCATGAAGGAATATAATGACTATTCCCGGTTGTCATATGGTGGCAGGGGTGGTGGTGGTGGTATAGAGTGTAGCTTAAGCCGAGCTAATATGGCTCCCTTGATCAGCAGCTGAGGTATGTTTTTTGCCCTTGCGACTCTATAGGATGCCATCTCAGCTTTCTTTCTTGTTCTTTCTGAAGGTCAGCTTGTATATTCAGGGCCCCCAAAAGTAGATTTGCTTATTTTACTCCCCAACCCATTTTAACCGTCCTCCCACTGTTTTTGGGATGGAGGAAGAAATGCCGAGGGAGGGAAGGGATTTGCTTCTCAGTGCATGTATTATGGGGCTGTGCAATGGTTTTACACAAGTGATTGCAGCCGGGGAGTTCTTTTCCTCAGCATGCTTAGAGTGGAAGAGTCGAATTTTCCATATTTGGCAAAAAAAAAAAAATCAGCTACGGTTATGGCCTTGCTTCAGTCCTTCAGTGGAGAAGGCTATCCTGGTTGCTTAGCAACGGTAGCACTCAATGTCCATTTCTAGCTTGGCTCAGAAGTGGTTGGAGAGCACATTCCACATTTGTTCTCCGTCACATCAAGCTGATCTCCATCCTTCCCCAACTAGTGTATGTTCCAATAAAGGATGTTGGGGAAGGAGGCCAACAGGCACGGTGTGCAGGGCCTGGGTTTGGGAGGTACAGATGGAAAGGGGGAAATGGAGATGCTGCGGCTCAAGAGCTCCCGCTGAAATCCCCTCTTCAATGTTTGTGTCTTCGGAAACCCAAAGGAGTCTGTGTGCCGATGAGCTCTTCTTGGAGATGGGCAGCTCTTCTGGTTTCTGGGTGGATCTGCTTTCTTTAATCTGGCAGCCTGAAGATGTGGTAGACCAGGGGTCTCCAACCTTGGCAACTTTGAGACTTGTGGACATCAATTCCCAGAATCCCTCAAGCCAGTTGCCTTGTGGAATTCTGGGAGTTGAAGTCCACCAGTCTTCAAGTTGCCAAGCGTAGAGTTCCAGACTACAGTTTTCATCCTCTTGAAACTAGCATGACAAAACTGTATTCTCAACGGCATTGCAATCCAACGCCTCAGGAGGCTGCAATATGTTACTCCGCACCACCTCAAAGCCCACGAGCTCTCCGTGCGTGTTTGTTTCTTTCCCCTTTTTGCCATGACTCTCTCTGCTTCCAGGTTCACCATCTGCCACAAGACAGAGGTGGTGAAGAACAATCTGAATCCTGTGTGGCAACCGTTTTCCATCCCTGTCCGCTCCTTGTGCAATGGAGACTACGACAGGTTAGAGTTTATATTTATACTTTGGGCCTAAAGGCTGGCAAAGGACAGAGCACCCAAAATATTAGAGGAGGAGAAATTTAAGTTGGATTTTTTTTTCATGCTGTTTCCAGGTCAAAAGGTTCTCTGAGGTTCTCTGCCCCCAAGGCTATTAAAAACCATTGGCCTACAGGTAGTCCTCGATGTACGACCACAATGGAACCCCAAATTTATGTTGTGAAGGGGAAAATTTGTTGAGTTTGGCCCCGTTTTGCGACCTTTTTTTTTGCCAGATTTGTTAAGTGAATCGCTGCAATTGCTAAATTGCTAAAATAGTAATATGGTGGTTAAATGAATCTGGATTCCCCGTTGACTTTGCTTGCCAGAAGGTCACAAAAAGGGATTATGTGAGACACCCCAGGACACTACAACTGTCATAAATATGAGTCAGTTGGCCAAGCGCCCGAATTTTGATCATGTGACCATGGGGATAGTGTAACAATTGTAAGTGTGAAAAACGGTCATAAGTCACTTTTTTCAGTGCCGTTGTCATTTCGAACCGTCACTAAACAAACTGTTGTAAGTTGAGGATTATCCATATACCGTATTTTTTGGATTATAAAACGCTCTGGACTATAAAACGCATCTACTTTTTTGGGGGGGAGAAAAACAAGAAAAAAAATCTGCCTCTGCCTTCCAGCATCCATCTGGTATTCACCCGGCCCATTTGCTGTGGCCTGTTTGCCGCCACCCGTTCCCCACCATGTGGCCCATTTGCCACCGGCATGGCTCATTTGCCACTGCTATGGCCCGTTTGGCGCAATCCGTTTGGTGCCACTGTGGCCCGTTCAGCCTGGCCTGTTCGGCACTGCCCATTTGCTGCCACCGTGGACCACTGGTGGGTTCCGGATCCCTGTGCAACCAGTACAGTGCACCGGGGCCCGGCGCCTCCCAGATGCACACGTGCGCAGCGGGTGCATGCGTCCTTACCTCCATGACACCTCCGTGACACCTCTGCGATGCTCCAGCTGCTTGGTGGAGCATTGCGCAGGCATCATACGCTCCGTGTGCGTGCGCAGAAGCGCTGAGGAGCTCAAATACAGGTAAGGAGCTTGGGCGGGCAGGTGGGCCCTCCGGAGCACCGTACCGGAGTGGTACCCGGTGCTCCCAGCAGGCACCGGTACGCCCATATCGGGCCGTACCACCTGCAACCCACCACTGCTGTGGACTGTTCACCACCGTCGCCACGACCCATTCTAGAACAGCTGATCGGCGCCACACCAACCCCCCACCCCTCGTCACAACATTTCCTGTATAAGACTGAAATTTTCACCCACTTTGGGGGGAGGGGAAGTGCGTCTTATACGCCGAAAAATACTGTAGGTGGAACATAAATTTTTAATGGTATGAGGGAGATTAATATTTCCTGGCATGTTTCTCAGGAGTGAAAATAAAGTTCTATATATTATGGACTGGCAGTTAAAGGAATTTAATGAGTGTGGACATAAACTCTACAGCATATGCCCTATCTCCTTTTTCATTTGGGCTCCTGTTTTCCTAAGCTGAAACCCTCCTTTGGGAACTCACCTTCTCTTGTTACTTGTTACCTCTGTTCTAGGACCGTGAAAATCGACGTCTATGACTGGGACCGGGATGGCAGGTGAGAATATAGACCAGTTTTATAGACCCCTTTCCCCAACCTGAATTCCCCAGAAGTATTCATTTAGGGGTCTTTCATGCTCCCTGAGTTGGTTGTTTTCATGCCAACATTTCATTATTCAAACTAGGTAACTTCATCTGTGCTAGTCTAATCTAGCCCTGATGATGTTACCTAGTTGGGTAAGGAAACATCTGCAAGAATACAACCAAGCTCAGAGAGCACCAAGGTCCCCTTATTTCAGCCCTGAGCCACAAATATTCTCCTTTAGTGTGAAATTACAATTCTTATCAATTCACCCAACATGGAAATGTAGCCTGATTCTTTTTAGGGCATCATGATAGGGAAAGTTGGTATAATACTTTCTCTTATTCCAGTGATTCAAGAAACACTTACCTGGGCATTATATGCTAATCACATATGGCATTAAAGCTAAAAATGAGTGAGGGTTTTTTGCTTTCTGATGCTCCCTTTCTCCTTTCTCTCTGTCTCTATCCTTTTCCCTCTACGATCTGCCAGTAAAAGGACAATGAATGTTTTCCTAAAGATCATTTGCCAATATTGTTTGAAGTGGAGCCAAAAGTCATACTTTTCTTGGGACTGTTTTACCTTAACTGAATAGGGCAATCCCATTTGTGCTTATTTAGATGTAAATCCCATATAAGTGTATAGGATCGAACTCTTGGCTTTAACAGAACAAATTTAAAGCATGATTTCCTTTCTTTTCAAAATTGTTTGTTCCTAATCCGGAGCTAAGATTGGTAGAAAGAATTGCCAGGATTTATTTATTTTTTTGAAGCCTTCTTAGCTAGAAGAGAGCTCATGGCCATAACCTTGGCTGGTTTTATAAGGCTGATCGATAGTTTTGTGAATGGGAGGCCACCAAGAGGCTGTGTGTCGATTAGGAAGTTGAAAAAGAAAAAGACGGCAATAGGAAAAGGGTTTCCTTTCTGTTGACAAGAAAATTACATGTGATTAGAAAAAAGGTAGATCAGATTTGACAGGACTTGGGTAGGATATCGACACGGCGCTAGAATGACAAAATAACATACCAAAAGACGGTACAGGTAGTCTTCACTTACCAACAGCCTCATTTAGTGACTGTTCAAAGTTGCAAAAATATAAATAAATATAAATAAAACAGTCATTTGCAACCAGTCATTGCATTTATGACTGTGGCAGCATCCCTTGGTCAAATGATTATCATTCTGTCACTTTTCAACTGGCACACATTTACAATTGTATGGTCATCTGATCACCACTCATGTGCTTCACAATTGGCTCCTGAGAAGCAGAGTTAATAGAACTTGTGGAAGTAAAATCTCAAGTCACGGTCAGGTGATCAGTTGTCTAATGACCAAATGGGAAATATTGTTGGAAGCCCATCCAGATCATGTGGTTTTTCCACCTAGCAACCGAGTCACTTAACAATAGAGTTGTTGATCCTAATTGGGGTTGCCAGGTGAAGACTACGGTAGCTATAACGGGAAATGATTCTGTATTTTTATCCAAAAAATGGAATAGCCGTGGCCCTGAACTCACCTAGAGGTTACACCATATCCTTCAGACAACCTAAATTTACTGCATAATTCGGAGTATAATAGCAATAGCAATAGCAGTAGACTTATATACCGCTTCATAGGCCTTTCAGGCCTCTCTAAGCNCTGCAGTACTGCACCCTAACCACTGCGCCACCTCGGCTGTTCAAGCCAGATTCACTTAACAGCCAGGTTACTAATTTAACAGCTGCAGTGATTCACTTAACAACTGTGGCAAGAAAAGTCATTAAGTGGGGCAAAACTCACTTAACAAATTTAGCCACATAAATTCTGGGCTCAGTTGTGGTCATAAGTTGAGGACTGTCTGTATTTCCTTCAGAGGTTTAAGGCGGCATTTGTCAACAACAGTTGTGTTCTGACCTAGGCTTCCTGAGACAGTAAAAATCACATGCTTAGTCCCCAAAACCCTTTTTATTTAAATGGCTGCGAATTATGTTCTTTCACAGCCCATGATTCCCAACCAGTCTTTTATTAGGAGTCCAACAGAAGTCTGCCACAGTCTTTCAGAGTAAGGCTGATAAACACCCACTTTTATCTCCCTTGAAACTTTGCCAGAGACCTAATTTCCAATTAGTTTTGCAAAGCCAAACAGAGCAGAGAGTCAAATGGAGCTTCAGAGTTTAAACCGACCACAACGAACAAAGTTGCTTCCTCCAAAAGCTCACGTCTGTTTACTCCTCTTGTATGTCCTATGGGAGGGACCAATCATCTCCAAGCCTTACTACTTGAGCAGAGGGTTGGATTAGAAGATCTCCAAGGTCCCTCCCAGCTCCATTCTGATAGATTCTGATTGAAATGTTCAGGAAAGGTGTTTTAAAAAATGTGATTAAAGGAATCAGTTAAGCGCTATGAAGATGAAGCCTAGTCATGCATTAATAGTTATACTTTTAATATGGCCATCAGCAATTTCATATATATTTTAGCGTGTACATCAGTGCTATGTGCTAAAATACATTTCATGTTCTGCAATATGCATATGCTGTACAGAGCCATAAGTGAAAATTTCCCCACCACCACCCCAAGGGCTGCCATGTATCTGCAGAGTATTATTTCTTTGCTTACAAAAGATTATGATGCACTGTAGTGCAACACTAAGAAAACCAGTTCTGTATCTTTGGGTACCAATAGTAAAACAGGTCTTCTTTCTTAGGATTATGAACAGAAGACGGTTACTTCTGAATGGACTCTCTCTCATTTAAGCCAGAACTGTGTGTGCTCTGTACCTTTTTGAAAATATCAACCAAAAAGAACAATTGCATTTGGTAGAGAGCAGGGATGAAAGGCTACCAGTTCTGACCGGTTCGCCCAAACCAGTAGCAAAGATGCCAGCTGTTCATCTGAACCAGTAGTAAAAAAATCCTACTGGTTTGGGCGAACTGGTTTTTCCAACGATCAGCTGTGCCACACCATTTATATTAGCTAGAAAGCACGATTTCCTGCTTTCAGCTAATCTAAATAGGTGGCAC